ACAAAAAGTATGAAGTTAACCCTTTGACCTATATGAAACCCAAGTATTCTATAATATCAAACACCCGTAAACTTCACTTGAAAAAAAATAATAATTTGGCAATTAACAAGTGAAATCCATCTAGAGAAAAACTGACAAAATTTTGTTTCAAAAATAAATATGAAAATTTTATAAAGTGGTCATATTTATACCCAAGAGAGAGCCCCTGTTTGAGACCTCCCTCATTTTAATTAAGGTTTTTATTTAAGTCACAGTTTACAAAGGAAAAACAATGCAACTCTCTGAGCTAATATGAGAAGCTGTGCTGGAATGTTTAACAGGAATTATTTTCCCTTCTATGAAAATAACAAGATATCATTCACCAAATGTGCAAGTCACGAGTTGCACACTTTAACAGGATTTTTACACCTGTCGCAGTATCATACACACACACACATTCATATACACTTACAAAGCAAAGAATCTTGGATTAGTGGAACTAACCCAGTTGACTTTTTATCCTTTTATTAACAAACTATATATTTTGTTCTATCTCATATTTATAAACTCAAAAACAAACAAAAAAATTTTTAAAATACTCAAACAAATTAATACCTTATTTATTAAGGATACTACACTCTCCTATAGAGAGCCTTGCATTAACATCAAAAAGTCACATGGTCTATAGTTTATTGCACCACAAGATATCCAATGTTTATGTTAGTCTTTGGGGGGGTAAAGGATAAATCTTGCTTCTAATATTGTGTTAACTGACACAGGAAATCATCTCAGTAATGTAATCTATCGAGAAACTGAAGAGTTTCTGAACCGTATCTTTACCGAATCTTGTATTGATATGGATATTTGTTAACAGCTAGAAGAGATTGTTTTATGCCTAACATGGCGACACTGAATGAAACAGGAAGTTTTGAGATACCACACGTAAGACAAACAGTACTAAACATTATAGCACTAAAGAACGTATGTCATGAAATTCAGATAAATACACTGTCTTCAAAAAATGAGCCATAATAATACATTGTATCACTATTAATAATAACATTTTTATATCTAAAATAGTCAACAACTCAATCATCTAACATTTATTTTCAGCTAAATTTAAAATATCCTCAAATGTTTCATAAAATCGTATTCATACGCATGAAAAAATAACAATATATATTTTTATTTTGAATTGTTAATGTCTTAAATATTGTTTCCTATAGATAACAGCAAGAGGATAACCAGTTTTTTACAACTAATAATTATTCCATCAGACAAAACAAGACTCCAATTGCTATGATTATTTTAATTTATAACACAATAAAACATTATATCTTAGTTCAAGGAGTCTAGCCCTATGTATATTTGTACATAATAGACAATAGTTAATATTTCCCAGCTATAAAGTGCCCATTAAGAGTAAGCCTATGAGAAGTTCAGCTATTATTAATCTCCTCCTTCATCTCAAACTCTGTTAATATTCTTTGTTTCCAAACAGTAGTTTGTAAGATGAACACCAGGTGGTGATGCTCTAAAACTTTGGACTACTGCAATCCTTAGTGGTAGTTTTATTCAGTTTTCCTTTGTTAAAGGCCTCGATAGAACCCAGTAACAACTTGCGGTCAGAGGGAGGAGGTGGAGACAGGTTGGGAAGGGGAACTCCATTACTATTTACTGAATTTGGTGAGGAAATTAAGAGTTGAGAAGGGGGAGGTGGAGGTGGAGGATGTGGTGGTGGAGATGAAAGAGCTGGTGGTGGGGAGGAGGAGGAGGAGGAGGAGGAGGTGCTGTTGGTAAAGTCGAATCTTTTTCTGCAAAAACAAAAAAAAAGCAGAAGCATGTGTTAGCTTTGAAACATTAACCTTCACCAGGTTAGTGAACAAAAGACGGTCTTACACTTTATGTGACTTCAACAGCACTGTAAGGGTTTCCAATCTAGCTTTGTACAATTAAAATTCAAGTAAGCAGCATAGGTATAGAAAACACAAAATCCTGAAATGTTTGAAGCTATGATGCAGTCTGAAATCTACAAAGTTCAATAACTTCAGTAAAAATAGTAACTGAAGACAAAAAAAATTATGATTTATGATAATAGCAAAGATCACAGAGTTGCTTAGTGACTACCAAAACGATTTTAGGGCAAAGTTACTTATGTATCAAACCAAAAAAAATCGGAAGTTGTAAATAAAAAAGTAACCTTTTCCTTCAAAGTATGTGTGGTTCATGATCAGTACAAATTATACAGTGGTGTAGCGATAAAAAAAAATAGTACTGGAGCTGTAACACTAATTATAATGTGTAATGTTGTATATGTAGCACATTGTGTCTTAATGCTTGAAAGATGTTAGATAAAGCAGTGATAAAAGCTGTGCTGATTCTGATTGGTTTATAAGTTCTGTCATTCATTTAATACTTCATATGGAATAAAAGTGGGTATTCCTGTTTAGTGTGGGAACTCAAAAAGTTGTCTTCACTGAAACATAAACTGTTTTACAGAAATGTTACATGTATGGTACAGTTAGCTACAAAAACAAGTATTATTTGTGACAAGATAACACAAATACTGCATCAGAAGAAGAAGGGTTAACTTCATACTTTTTCTGCATGTTACATGTATGGTACAGTTAGCTACAAAAACAAGTATTATTTGTGACAAGACAACACAAATACTGTATCAGAAGAATTGGGTTTTCTAGTGTCTTAGCACTTCACATATTTACAGAAACATTAACAGAGATTAGATTGTTGGGTTTTCTAGTGTTTTAGCACTTATTATGTCATCATGTTACATTATTGTATGATAAACAATGCATTAAGTTAATGATCAAAACTTGGATAATTTATCCATCAAGATTTTCACATGAATGTTTATGTAGATATACAATCACTACCGAAATACTAACATGTCCACAATTAACTCTTTGTGTTACTACATACTTGTTAACTTCTAAAACACTAGAAAACCCAACAATTATTAATGTTAATATTTCTGTAAATATGTGAAGTGCTAGAACACTAGAAAACCCAACAATCTAATCTCTGTTAATGTTTCTGTAAATATGTGAAGTGCTAAGATACTAGAAAACCCAACAATCTACTTTTTGTTAATGTTTCTGTAAATATGTGAAGTGCTAAAACACTAGAAAACACAACAATCTACTCTTTGTTAATATTTCTGTAAATATGTGAAGTGCTAAAACACTAGAAAACACAACAATCTACTGTTTGTTAATATTTCTGTAAATATGTGAAGTGCTAAAACACTAGAAAACACAACAATCTACTCTTTGTTAATATTTCTGTAAATATGTGAAGTTCTAAAACACTAGAAAACCCAACAACCTACCCTTTGTTAATGTTTCTGTAAATATGTGAAGTGCTAAAACACTAGAAAACCCAATAATCTAATCTCTGTTAATGTTTCTGTAAATATGTGAAGTGCTAAAACACTAGAAAACACAACAATCTACTGTTTGTTAATGTTTCTGTAAATATGTGCAAACCTGTTATTTGAAGGT